CTGACAAGTCTCCAACATGTCGTATACAGCATAGAGGCCTGTGGGGGCTGAGTTGTCAATAGTGCAGCCATGTTTAAATGGCATATATCCCACACTTCTGCAGTCTGAAATTGATCAAACATACAGTCAAGATGCATTGATAATTACTGGTGATTGAAATGCAAAAGTTGGAAACGAAGAAGGATCAGTAGTTGGAAAATATGGCCTCGGTGATAGAAATGACGCCGGAGATCCCATGATAGAATTTTGCAAGGCCAACGACTTATTCATTGCAAATACCTTTTGTCAACAACATAAATGGTGACTATACATGTGGACCTCATCGGATGAAATACACAGGAATCAAATCGACTACATCTGTGGAAAGAGAGGATGGACAAGCTCAATATCATCAGTCAGAACAAGGCCAGGGGCCGACTGCAGAACAGACCATTAATTGCTCACATGCAAGTTCAGGTTGAAGCTGAAGAAAATTAGAAAAAGTCCATGAGAGCAAAAATATGAGCTTGAGTATATCCCACCAAATTTAGAGACTATCTCAAGAAAAGATTTGATGCACTGAACACAAATGACTGAAGACTAGACGAGTTGTGGGATGACATCAAGGACATCATACACGAAGAAAGCAAGAGGTCATTAACAAGACAGGAAAGAAAGAACAGACCAAAATGGATGTCAGAAGAGACTCTGAAACTTGCTCTTGAACATAAAGTACCTAAAGCAAAAGGAAGAAATGATGAAGTAAAAGCTGAACAGAAGATTTCAAGGGGCTATTTGAGAAGAAAAAGTAAGTATTATAATGAAATGTGCAAAGACCTGGAGTTGGAATACCAAAAAAGAAGAACACACTCGGCATTTCTCAAGCTGAAAGAACTGAAGAAAAAATTCAAGCCTCGAGTTGCAATACTGAAGAATTCTATGGGGAAAATATTGAATGACGCAGGAAGCATCAAAAAAAGATGGAAGGAATACACAGAGTCACTATACCAAAAACAATTGGTTGATGTTCGACCATTTCAGGAGGTAGCATGTGATCAGGAACTGATGGTATTGAAGGAAGAAGTCCAAGCTGCACTGAAGGCATTGGTGAAAAACAAGGCTCCAGGAATTGATGGAACAGCAATTGAGATGTTGCAACAAATGGATGTGATGCAGGAAGTGCTCACTCGTCTATGCCAAGAAATTTGCAGGACAGCTACCTGGGCAACTAACTAGAAGAGATCCGTATTTGTACTCATTCCAAAGAAAGGTGATCCAACAAAATGTGGAAATTATCAACAATATCATTAATATCACACACAAGCAAAATTTTGCTGAAGATAATTCAAAAATGGTTGCAGGAGTACATCAACAGGGAACTGCCAGCAGTTCAAGCTGGATTCAGAAGAGGACGTGGAACCAGTGATATCATTGCTGATGTCAGATGAATCTTGGCTAAAAGCAGAGAATACCAGAAAGATGGTTACCTGTGTTTTATTGACTATGCAAAGGCATTCGACTGGGTGGATCATAACAAATTATGGATAACATTGTGAAGAATGGGAATTCTAGAACACTTAATTGTGCTCATGTGGAACCTGTACATAGACAAAGAGGCAGACATTCAAACAGAACAAGGGGATACTGTGTGGTTTACAGTCAGGAAAGGTGTGCATCAGGGTTGTATCCTTTCACCATACTTTTTCAATCTGTTTGCTGAGCAAATAATCCGAGAAGCTGGACTATATGAAGAAGAACGTGGCATCAGGATTGGAGGAAGACTCATTACAACCTGTAATATGCAGATGACACAACCTTGCTTGCTGAAAGTGAAGAAGACTTGAAGGACTTACTGATGAAGATCTAATTCTACAGCCTTCAGTATGGATTACACCGCAACATAAAGAAAAAAAAACAAAAACAAAAAACTCACAACTGGACCAATAAGCAACATCATGATAAATGGAGAAAAGATTGAAGTTGTCAAGGATTTCATTCTATTTGAATCCACAATCAATGTCCGTTGGGCAAATCTGCTGCAAAAGACCTCTTTAAAGTGTTAAAAAGCAAAGATGTCATTTTGAGGACTAAGGTGCACCTGACCAAGTCATGGTATTTTTAATCGCCTCATATGCATAGGAAAGCTGGACAGTGAATAAGGAAGACCAACGAAAAATGGTGTTGGCAAAGAATATTGAATATACCATGGACTGCCAAAAGAACGAACAAATCTGTCTTCGAAGAAGTACAGCCAGAATCCTCCTTAGAAGGGAGATTGTCGAGACTTCGTCTCATGTACATTGGACATGTTATCAGGAGGGACCAGTCCCTGGAGAAGGACATCATGCTTGGTAAAGTAGAGGGTCAGCAAAAAAGAGATGGATTGACACAGTGGCTGCAATAATGGTCTCAAGCATGGCAACGATTGTGAGGATGGCGCAGGACCAGGCAGTGTTTTGTTGTGTGTACATAAGGTCGCTATCTGTCAGAACAGACCCGACAGCACCTAACAACAACAATAAAACTTTTGTATTTTACTCCTTCTTTTAATAGCCGCATAATATTATTTAGTTATGGATGTACTGTCAGTTATTTAATAATTTCCCAATTCATGGATTCTTAAGGTTATACCAGTTTTTGGCATTACAAACAATGCTGAATAAGTATCTTTGTATGGACATCTTTACATATCAGTGTTTATAGATCCGTCAAAGTGAAATTGTTGTGTGTTTTAATAGATAGTGCTAGATAACTTTCTGAAAAAATGCAGCTATTTTCACTGCCATGAAGAATGTGTGACAGTATCCTTTTCCATCCAATCTAAACTAGCTCTGGATATTCTTGCTTTAAAAAAATTTGCCAACCTGATGGGTGAAAAATGACTTCTCACTTCTAAATTTGATGTTGCGTTTATCTAACTACTATTTAATTTTGTTGGCCAATCAGATTTCCTCAATTATTAATTGCCTGTTCATATCCTTTGCACATTTTAGAATTGGGTTATTTCTTATCTTTTTGTAGGACTCCCTTATATCCTGTGGATAGTAATCATTTGACTATTATATGTATTGAAAAATTTAAAAAACTAGTTGTGGTGTCTATTGCTGTAAAAACAAAAATTCTATCATTGTTATGTGGTTAGGTTAGATATGCCTGTTGTTTCTTTGATAGCCCTTTGGTTTTCTGTCTTCTTAGAAATGTCCCTCCAACTCCAAGGCTATACAATATTCTCCTAAGTCTTCTTTTAATAACTTATAGTTCTATATTTTTAATCTTTAGCCCACCTGGGAATGACTTTTACATATTATGAGGTAGACAGTGTACATTTCTTTTCTTCCAGATGGAAAGCCATTTTTCTTCATGACTATTTAATAAATAAATGATCCTTGTCCAGCTGAATTTAAATGCCACTTCCATTGTATTTTCAGTCCCTTTATTTATATGTTGAAACCTGTTTCTGAATCTTTTTCTCTTCCACTTCTTGATTTATTTTTTCCTGTGTCAAAACTATGTTTTGATTACAGCAGTTTAAAGACATTTTATTTGCGAGGATGTTGGCTGTTTGCTTTGTATAAATGCCCTTAATTATGTTGAGGAATTTCTCTTCTATTCCTATTTTGCTGAGAATTTTTATCATGAATGGGTGTTGGACTTTGTCAAATGCCTTTTCTGCATCAACTGATAAGATCATAAAGACATTTTAATATGTGGAAATACTTTAATACTTTTAATACTTAAGGAAAGCTCCCCCTCACTGTTTTTTCTCAAAAATGTCTTGGCTCTTCTCTGCTATTTATTCTTCCATATGAACGTTAAAATTAGTTTGTTCCATTCCAAAAAAAAAAAGAAAAAGGAAAATGCTTCCAAATTTCCCGTAACTCCTCCTTCCTCCCCAAACTTCACTGAATTGATGTGTTAAATTGTGACAGGCTGACACTATATCACTTTTTCCATTTATTCAGGCTTTGTCCTTAAATAAGCTTTATACATCTCCTTCAAAAGATACCGTACCTTTCCAGCTTAAGTTATTCCCAGGTATTTTGTACTTTTTAGCAAAACGTGAATAAGATACATATCACTATCTTGGAGAAAATTTTTGGTTTTTTTGTATTTTTCTTATATTAATCCTCTTCCCAGATTCTTTTATTAATCTTTTTTTTTTTCTTTTTACTGGAGTCTCCAATTTTCTGGGAATATAAACCATATTTTCTTCAAGTAGATCTCTTTGTCTCTTCTAGCTTTTTAAAAAACATTGGCTTTTATTCCCATGATTTCATTTTTCTTGAGTTATTACATTAACTAAAAACTCCAGGATGAGTGTGAAGAATAGTAATGCTGTCTTGTTTCTTATTTTAATGGAAATAGTATAAAACCACTTTATATGATTTTGCAGTTGGGCATAGATAAATATCCTTATTGTGTTTGGATAGTCCTTTCTATTGCTATATCCTTCATTTTATCTTTGAACTTTCACCCCTTCTGGCTCCCGGGCAGTTAATCAATTACAAGATTGACTCATGTCATAACGCCTGCCTTGATCTGGGACCCAGCCGTCTAGGCCTCTACCTTCTTCCTCCCTTTTGAAGTTGAGCATTCTGGTCCTCAAAATCTGGCCCCTTCCCAAAGTGCTCAAATAAATGACAATTCCCATGAGCCTCAGGACAGAGGATTAGGAAGAGGACACATTTGCCCCCAGGGACTTCTGGGAAATGAGTTTTTTTCCGATCCCTACCAAAGGATGATGGGAGGTGATCTGAGGTATCCTGCTTGTTCCCTCTAAGACCCAGGTGTCCAAGCCCTCTGCTCTATTCTCTCCTCAGGGACTGGAATTGACATCCCTGTTCTCCTCCTCCTGATTAACGGTGATGAGAAGATGTTGAAGGTGTGGGGACCTGGACTCCTAGATCTAAGGGAGGAAGAAGCTGGGAGCCTGGATGCCTAGGTCTAAGGGAGGAGGGGGCTGGGGGCCTGGACTCCTGGGTCTTAGGTGAGGAGGAAGCTGGGAGCATGAACTCCTGGTGGGGTGAATACCTACCTGCCCTAACCTAACTCTCCCCTTTATCTTGTAGCGGATAGAGGATGCCACCCAGGCCCAGCTTCCCTGTCTTCTGGTGGCTGGGTCTGGGGGTGCTGCAGACTGCCTGGCAGAGACCCTGGAGGACACTTTGATCCTAGGGAGTGGGGGGTCCAGGCGGGGTGAAGCTCAAGATCAGCTTAGGCGTTTCTTTCCCAAAGGAGACCCTGAGGTTCTGCAGGCTCAGGTAAGACATTAGGGGCTGAACTCTGAGATGGGAAAAGGCTGGGGACCTGCACTCCTAGTTCTCAGGACAGAGGGTATTGGGCACCCAGACTACTAGGTCCTGGAGGAGAATGGCCTCCTGTGACCCTCTGTGGGGAGGGCTCTAAGCCTGACCTTCCACTGGACAGTGCCCAGGAGGAGTTGGGCTGGGGATGCAGAGTCTGGTATCTTGTAGGTGGAGAGGATCATGACCCGGAAGGAACTGCTGACAGTCTATTCACTTGAGGATGGCCCTGAGGAATTTGAGACCATCGTTTTGAAGGCCCTTGTGAAGGGTAAGACTTAGACCCCTCACATTCTCCCCCTCTCTCAGCTCAACCTTCGACACCTTCCCTGGCCTGGGCACTTTATCCATCCTCTCTAACCTAAGGTTCATACTCCTTTTTATCTCTCTCCTTATATCCTTCACTTCTGCAGTGTTTCTCGGGGCTTTGCATGGTCCTATTTGGACAGCTTTCTCCAAATGCTTTTATTATGTTCCAGTATCTGCTTTTCGTCTGTTAGATCCACCCATCCTTTCATACTTCCATCCATACATCAATCGTTTCATCTATTCATCTACCCATTATTCCATTAATCCCTCATTCTTTTGTCCATCCATGATCCATCCATCCATACATTAATCCTTCTATATACCTATCTATCCACCCACTCATTCCTCCATTCACTCACCCTTTCTTTCATCCATCTAGTCAACCAGCAAGCCATTTTTCCATCTTGTCATCCATCCATCCATCTCTCCATCAATCTTTCCATCTACACATTCACTGACAATTCCATCTACTCATTCTTCCATCATTTCATCCATCCATTGTTCATCCATCTATCCAACCATTCTTCTATCTCTTTATCCACCCATTCTTTCTTTTGCACATGCCTCCAATATGTGTTAGGCACTATGGAGTAAGGGAGTTGGAGATGAAACAAAGACCTATCTCCCAGTGAGGAATTCCTGATATTTCACTAGAAAAGGCAGCTTAGAGGAGTGCATGATAAAAATCAAGGCAGGGAGCATAATGGCCACCTGGCAGAGGCTGGGAATGGGGACTCATTTATTCATTCAACAAACATGAAAATGGCTGTGTTCCTGGCATCATCCTAGGCTCTAGAGGTTAAAGCAGACCGATTTCCCCCTCTCAAGGACCCCAGATCCTACTACGATTGTTTGGACACAACATTAAGTAAAATCTAAGACAAACGCATGAGGAAGGAATCACTTTCAGTAGAGGAGAAACTTCAAGGAGGAACTGGTATTTACACTTGAACTTGGAGAGTCAGTAATTTGGAGCTAGTAAGATGGGGGTGGGAGAGAGAAATGAAGAATTCCTGTACTCTGGGAATATGGGTGGGGAAGGTCGTTTTTGGTGTCAGAAGAATTTTACAGGGAAAACATTCACTTAGATTAAAAACTCCCAAGAGGCATAGTGGCAATATATAGTGCTTTCTCAGCCCCAGATCCCCACCTCAATTATACCTACCATGTCCTGTGGTGTGATAGAAGGAGCAGTGACTTTGGACTTTGGAATCAGACAAAGCTGAATTTGAACACCAGCTTGGCCTCTTGCTTGCTGTGTGACCTTGGGAAAGAGAGTTTCCCTCTCTGAGCCTCAGTTTCTCTCTCTGAAAAATGGAGATAATACCTTGCAGGAGTGTTGTGAGCCTCAGAGGCAATGTCTGAGCAGGGCCTGGTCCCCAGTGGAAGCCCAATGACTGGAGGCTGTTCTTAATATGATTCCATTTCCTGTGGGGGCACATCCTTAAATAGCCAATGACAGTCAGTAGATGAATCTGATTTGCTTTACAGAAATTAACTCATCAACCTCCTGGGAGAAAATACCACCTGGGAAAAAACACCACACCTCTGCAAGATGTGGTTTGAGAGGGTTATGGTTTAAGTCCATTGCCTGCAAATGTGGGAGTGATTGCACTCCACTGGGAAATTGGAAATGGCTTGATGTACTTGGCGATAATATGAGTTGAATGGATGTGGTTTCAGCATGTGAGGAGGGAGGGGGAAGGGAACAAATACTCCTTAAGAGTCTAGTATGGGCCAGGCACTGTGCTGAGCAGCTGGCATAGATTTTCACCCGTTATCCTTAATCCCTGCCTGCAAGGATCATTTCCCTCATTTTGTAGATGGAGAAACTTGCACAAAGTCACAGCTAGAACAGGGGTCAGGACTTTAATTTAGGCCCCTGTCTTAATCCCACTCCATAGGGCAAGTTTGGGGTGAAGTAGGAGGCCCATGTGGTTGGTGTGTAGGATGCATGGAGGGAGTGTTGGAGACAAAACTAGTGAGGTGGGCAGGGCCAGACCACCCAGGACCTCAAATGCCACGCCGAGGGCCTGGAGAGGCAGGGGAGGGCAAGAGTCAGTTCTGGGTGTAGAAAGACCCTCTAAAGTTGAATGCGGGAAGATTGGCTGACGTAACAGACCTGGTAGGAGAGGATGAAGATTAGGTTGGGGCCTTGGGGAGTGGTGAGGAGGGGAATAGCAGAGTGAGTCAAGGGGCTACAGAGATGGGAGTTGGGGACCAATGGGCTATGGGATGTAAAGGGAAGGGAGGGGGCAAGGACACCACCCAGGTTCTGACTTGTTGGCTGGGTGGACAATGAGGCCATTACTGAGATGGAGAACCCAGGAGAGGATGGGTTTGGGGAAAGACCATGAGGTCAGTGTGAGACATGGTAAGCATGAAGGGCCTAGAGGAGATCCAAGTTGATAAATGGTGCCATGTTAAGGCAGAATGTAAAGCAAGATATCATAAATCATTTCCTTTTGTTCTCTTGGAACTGTGAGGAATGTAAGGGGAGAGCTATAGAATCAAAGAAAATCCCACTCTGAATTCACTTCTGGGTTTTGAAAAGAACTGTAAAGCTGTGTGGTGCTAGACATGTTATTGTCTCTCTCTGGGCTTCTGTTTCCTCAGCTCTCAACCTTAGAGGTTACCCTGGTCAAGCTGGAGATTCCTCCCAGTTTAGAACTTCTCCTACAGTTATATTACTGATAACTGTACAAAGCGGGTACCATTACTACTCCCATTTTATAGATGAGGAAATTGAGGTTCCCAAGGTTCAGTGGCTTGCCTGAAGTCACTCGATTGGTAGTGGTGGAACTGTCATTGGAACATAGCTCTGCCTTCCCAAGAGCCCATTGCTCATCTCCGCTACATTGGATCACCTAGTTCTGCGATACCAGTTTTTGGAACAATCAGAATGAGATGAATTTGCTTTGGAGATAGATGTGGAGCAAGTGGAGGCAGAAGGAAAAACAAACTCAATGGCACAACACGTGCTCTGAGACCCAGCAGTGTCTAGGCTTTGCCCTACTTCTCTTTGGAGCCACTTGATGCTTCAGGACTTTTCATGCCCCTGTTGACTTCACATGTTTGGAGCCATTAAATTGCTGGATCAGAATTTTAAAGACCGCTTGACCTTCCTTGCTATTTTTAATGACCTCCAGGATTTTCTGGAATCTCTCTTATGTTGGATTTTTTTCCAGTCTCATTTTCTGCTACAATTCCCTCTTTCCTCTCATGACATACCCCAAGTTTCAGGAAATCAGAGTGATACATTTGCCACGATATTCTGTGCTTTCCTGCACCCACGACTTTTCTTAAGCTGTTCCTTTTGCCTTGAAGGTTCTTCTCCCACCTTAGGCGCACACCTCCAAATCCTATCAGTCTTTCCAAAGCCCTGTCCAAACACCCATCCTTTAACAGGCTCCCCTGGACCACTCCATATCATGTTATTATGGCCTCTTCCGGGCCTTAATCACATTCTGTGTCCATGTCTGAGGGCTCTGCTCACTCTGAGAGTATTTATTTGTGTTTGGGACATATTTCCCTTAGTAGGATGAGCTCCTTCAGGGCAGGAACTGTATCAGATTTCTCTCTCCACCCCTCCCATTGCCTGGTCCACAGCCTACCTCAATAAATGTTAAATAAATAAACAATTCTCTTTCCTTATTCTTCGGGACTCTAAACCACTGCTCTCTAGTCCTGAGCTGAATCTTATTTATGACTGTACCTTAGTTTCCTAGTGCTGCTGTAACAGAAATACCAGAGATGGGTGGGTTTAACAAACAGAAATTTATTTTCTCACAGTTGAGGAGGCTAGAAGTCTGAATTCAGGGTGCTGGCTCTAGGGGAAGGCTTTCTCCCCTGCCCGCTCTGGGGTAAGGTCCTTGTCTTAGCTTCTCTAGCGTTCTTCTCGATGCTTCTTGGCGATCTCCATGTAGCGTATCTTTCCCCTTTTGTCCCTGTTTGCTTCTGTGCCTATCCACTCCTTCTATATCTCAGAAGTGATTGGCTTTAGACATACCACACACTAACGTGGCCTCATTAACATAATAAAGAAAACCCTATTCCCAAATGGGATTACATCCATAAGTACTGTATGCCTTCCAGTCGATTCTGACTCATAGTGACCCATGTGACAGAGGAGAACTGCTCCGTAGGGTTTCCTAGACTGTAATCTTTATGGGAGCCAATTGCCAGGTCTTGTCTCCTGTGGAGCAGCTGGTGGGCTCAAACAGCTGAACTTTTGGTTAGCAGCCAAGCGCTTAACCACTGTGCCGCCACCACTGTGCTATCGCTTCCACAAGTATAGGGGTTAGGATTTACAACATGTATTTTTGGGTGACACAATTCAATCCATAACATGCCCGTAATAATCTGACTTCTTAAAGACCCCAGACTTTATCCAACAACACCCCCCTTATGTGGAGTTTAACGTCAGCCACCCCATATAGAAGCAAAACATCCATCAGATGTACCCGTCCTCCCCCTGACTTCTTGTTCCCCTCTCCCTCTCACCCTTCCAGCCTGTGGGAGCTCTGAGGCCTCAGCTTACCTGGATGAGCTGCGTTTGGCTGTGGCTTGGAACCGTGTGGACATTGCCCAGAGGGAGCTCTTCCGGGGGGACATCCAGTGGCGGGTGAGGGGCTGGGGCCTTGGGTGGAAGGGCGGGTCTGGGTGTTGGGGGTTCTGGTAAGGGGGATGTGTTCTCCTTCCTCCCTGACTTCTTTGACACCTGACCCTGCCTTCCATTATGGCTGTCCAGCCTTCCCTTAATTGTCTTTCCATCTCTGATTGTCTGCTCCATCTTGTGCCCCTCTCCCCATTCATTCATCCATCCATCCATCCATACTTCACTCATAGCCCTGCACCCCTATCTCCTCTCCTTGACGTCTGACTTCACCTGGGCTTCTGTCTGTCACTCTGCTCACCTCTTGCTCCGTTCATCCCGTCCCACAAGTCCTTCCACTTGGAGGCCTCCCTCCTGGATGCCCTCCTCAATGACCGTCCCGAGTTCGTTCGTCTGCTCATCTCCCGCGGCCTCAGCCTGAGCCACTTCCTGACTCCGGCGCGCCTGACCCGCCTGTACAGCGTGACGCCCCCCAACTCGGTGGTGCACCATCTTCTGCGCCAGGCGTCCCACGGCCCTAAAGGCTCTGCGGAGGCCCCACCCCCTGATGTAGGGCATGTGCTGCGGCTGCTGCTGGGGGAAATGTGCGCTCCAACGTACTACCCCGAGAGTGCCGCGGACCCCGACCCTGGCCACGGCTGCGCAGTAAGTACTGGGTGGGGCTGGAGCGGGGCAAGGAGGACCCCGGGGGCGGAGCTACGTCAGGGAGTGGGCGTGGTCACAGGTCGGGGGTGTGGCTGAGCCAGGAGGCGGGGCTGAGGGGGCCAACGGTGCAGCCCTAACCACGCCTTTTCTACTTGCAGAGTCGCCGGCTCTCAGCCAAGACAAACTCGGAACTGAAGCTGAACGCTGTCCTTGGGCAGGACCCCTTGAGCGACCTGCTGCTCTGGGCACTGCTGTTGAACAGGGCTCAGATGGCCCTATACTTCTGGGAGATGGTGAGTGCTGATCCTGATCTGTGATCCTACTCTCTCTTACTTCCGTTTCTTTTATGCCTACCAGATTCCAACGCCCCCCACCCCCATAGGATTCCCTGATGTCTGACATCACCCTGACCCCTACCCATCCTCAATTTCCGATATATGACTCCAACTACTACTACTTCTCCCTCTCCTCTTTCTTCCTCGTTTCTTTTTTTACCCCCGTTTCTTTTTTGTGTGAAAATATACACAACAAAACATACACCAATTCAGCAATTTCCACATGTGTAATTCAGTGGCCTTGATTGCATTCTTCACGTTGTGTAACCATTCTTTTTTTTTTATTGTTGTAATTTAAGTGAAAGTTTACAATATAAGTTAGTCTCTCATATAAAAATTTATACATACATTGTTATATGACCCTAATTGCTCTCCCTATACTGTGACAGCACACTCCTCCTTTCCACCCCTAATTTCCCATGTCCATTCAACCAGCTGCTGACCCTCTCTGCCTTCCCATCTCACCTCTGGAAAGAAGCTGCCCGTTTAGTCTCATGTATCTACTTGAGTTAAGAAGCACACTCTTCGTGAGTATCATTTTATGCCCCGTAGTCCAATCTAATCTTTGTCTGAAAAGTTGGCCTCAGAAATTTTTTTAGCTCTGGGTTGACAGAGAGTCCAGTGGCCATGTTTTCTGTGGTTCCTCCAGTCTTAGACCATTAAGTCTGGTCTTTTTACTAGAATTTGAGATCTGCATCCCACCCTTCCCCTGCTCCATCAGGGACTCTCTGTTGTGTTCCCTGTCAAGGCAGTCATTGGTGGTAGCCAGGCACCATCTAGTTCTTCTGGTCTCAGGCTGATGAAGTCTCTGGTCTGTGTGGCTCTTTCTGTCTCTTGGGCTAATCCTTTCCTTGTGACATTGGTGTTCTACATTCTCCTTTAGTGCAGGTGGTTGGGACCAATTGATGCATCTTAGATGGCCACTTGCAAGCTTTTAAGACCCCAGATGCCACTCACCAAAGTAGGATGCAGAACATTTTCTTAATAAGCTTTGTTATGCCAATTGACCTAGATGTCCCCTGAAAGCATGGTCCCCAGACCTCCACCCCTGCTACTCTGTCCCTTGAAGTTGTGTAACCATTCTTACTATCCTTTTCCAAATCATTCCACCACCATTAACATAAACTCATTGGCCCCTAAGCAAAAACTCCCCCTTTGCCCTCTGCCTACCACCCCTGGTAACCACTAATAATTTCCGGTTTCTACATATTTGCTTATAGCACGTAAGTAAGAGCATGCAGTATTTGTTCTTTTGCCACTAATTTTGCTCAGCATGATGTTTTCGGGGTTCGTCTATGTTGTGACATGCATCAGAACTTCATTCCTCTCTCTCTCTCTTTTTTAATTTTAATTTTGGTGAAAATTTACATGGCAGAACGTACACCCATTCATCAGTTTCTACATGTACAATTCACTAACATTGGTTACATTCTTTACATGTGTCGCAATTCTCATGATCTCTACCCATATTGTTTTACCACTGTTGACGTAGACTCACTACCCCCTAAACTTCTCATCTGTGCTTTAGAGTTACTGTTGACAATTTGATCTCCTATAGATAATTCTTTACAGGAGTGCAGTGCTCATGTCGAACATTCTTTACTAGTATAGCTAAACTGTTGTTTAGTTTAAAAATTACTTCAGGGGATAATTTCAGTTCATGGTTTGAAAATTTTCTCAGAGCAATAGATTCAGGGGTTCCTCTAGTCTCAATAGGTCCAGTAAGTCTGGATTCTGTAAGAATTTGAAATTTTGTTCCACATTCCACCCCCCACCCCAGCTGATCAGGATTCGTCTGCTGATTCCTTGATCGTAACGTTCAGTAATGGTAGCCGGACACCATCCAGTTCTTCTGGTCTCATGGCAAAGGAGGCAGTAGTTCATGGAGGCAGTTAGACCTGTAGGACTTGGTTTCTTTTTATGGCTGAGTACTATTCCATTGTATATGTATATACCAGATTTTATTTATCTATTCAGCTGTTTATGGATATTTTGGCTGTTACACAGTGTTTTTAAAACAAATAAAACAAGTGTTCTGTATGGATAAATGTTGCAAAAGTATACAAAGGTGCCTGGACTTGACAAACACCCCAAAAAAACAAAACCCGAAAACCAAACCCGTTGCCGTTGAGTCGATTCCAACTCATAGTGACTCTCTAGGACAGAATAGAACCTCCCCAGAGGGTTTCCAAGGCTGTAATCTCAAGGGCAGAGAATATTGAATATACCGTGGACTGCCAGAAGAATGAACAAATCTGTCTTGGAAGATGTACAGCCAGAATACTCCTTAGAAGCAAGAATGGTGACACTTCATCTCAC